AATATACATTTTTATTATATATAATATTTTTTCAGTGTTTTAAGTATTTTTCAGTGATATATGCAGTGATCACAAAACACACATTTAATATTTTAATTAATATGTTTTAATAATGTAATATATTTTAATTATATATATAAAATATATATAAATTTTTTTTTTCAATTTAAGTATCATTTAATATAAGTAGCTTTTTCAGTTTTGTAAGTATCATTTTTTATTTTTTTTTTAAGTATCATTCAGAGTGTTTCTGTGATGGGTTTTCATCAAGAGGGATCATATTTCTATTATATTATATTAGCAGAAACCTCTAGTGTATCTCACGTCTAATGAAGGAAGACGGCGGCTGTAATTCTAATAATGGCTTTGATTGACACTCCTGCTGTTATTAATCTAATCAGTGTCGAGGATATTTGACTGAAAGGTTTTCATAAATCACAGGGCTGGATGAGTGTCAAATATGTATTTATTTTAAGCCACTTTTTCAATATTCCTGCCGTTGAATTCACTAATTCTCTTAGTGAAAACACAGTCTATGGAGGAGAAGATAAGCTGGTTCACTCGTGATGTTTAATGATCTGTTCAGCTGCACACGATGCAGGAAAAGCAGATGTTTTTCCTGTAAGTGGTTCGGATGCACAGTATGTGGTCTTTTCTCTCATGAAGAGCTGAGCTCTCTGCAGTTTGTGATTCAGAAACCTTAACGTCAGTGAGACTGACATGCTTCCTTTTGTCTCATTGCTCACCGTACAGCGGCAAACACTCGGACCAGGCGCTAAAAGACCCAAGGTACAGCGGCATGAGCTTCAGTGTTTGCCTACTCGGTCTCCTCCCAGAGTGCACTGCAGTGGGCGGCTTGTGTGTTATGAGCAGTTCGGTGTCGGCATGATGTGGTTCAGTTCTGCATGCTGCTCATTTTTCGTTTAGGATCACACACTTGTACGATCCGCCGGCATCTGTTCGATAGAGCGTTTTGTGATCCAGGACCCATGTTTGTTATGTTTGCATGGGATTTTTTTCTTTCATCCCTGTGTTCAGGGCCTGGTTTTGCCATGCGCTCATGCACGTGTGCTTGTGAAAGTCAGAGACTCTGTGTAACTTCACTCATGCTCTTCTCCAGTCGAACGCAAAGGTAAAGTTAGTTCGGAGCCTGGCCATTTGTGAAGAACCCTGTCCTTCCACGATTACCACACAACTGCCTCAAGATCAGCAGGTAAACGTGCTCCAGATCTCCAAACACACTCATGACGCGCTGCTCTGTTCAGTGGAATATTATGAGTACAGTCAGCATATCCTGCTGTGACGAATATTTCTTTTACATCATAGTAATATCTTAATATTATATAGTTATTTAAGGTAAATTGAACTGCATAATAAATCCAGTGATGTGAAATCGCACACAAGTTGAGATAGCGCCAGATGAACCGTCTTCTGATTGGCTGGTTTTTGTTGTTTATGTCATACTATGCAGCGTTTTAGCTTCCAGTGTGGGAGTGTTTTTGGACACAAAGGAAACATTCTGATAGTGTCTCTGTTTTCTGACACGGTTATGCTGGTTTTCTCTGTCATTAATCACAGAAGAAAGCCTGATTATTTTGTCTCAGGAGGGTTGAAGGTTCATTCAAACGAATCGTGATCTATATAAAACTAAGGCGTAATTTTTCTCTCTCTTTCTCACACTAAGAAATACTCATTTGAAACCACAGTTAACTGATTAGTTATCGAACACTCTTATTGTAACTATAGACTTTTATTTATCTCTTTGCAGTGTAAAATAATAATGCAGTATTGTACAATTAAATACAGACTAATTCAGTTTTCCCTTTTGTCTTTTCTTGTCGATATTGCTGTTTGATTATTATTATGACATAACAGACAACATTTTTAATTGATGCTTAAAAAATTTATTATTAAGTTATTAAATCTCAGTTGCATTATGGGCGGTTTTATTAATAATATGACTGAGTTAGCATAAACGCATCAAAATCTAGTTGAAGTGTATATTTTCATTTAAATGTTGGCTTACTGTCAAGCTCCATTAGTGTTGTGTTTGTTTTTATCCACAGGATGGAGATCATATTAAACTCTCGCAGACGTTTGACAAAGAAGAATCGCCTCTTACTGCAGACGAGGATGATGCAGACAGAAGTGCCAACAAGCTGGAGAAAATGCCACGCAAGATGCTGTCCAGAGGTGAGTTGAGTTCGGTTGGGTTGGGTTTAATTGGGTTGGGTTGAGTTTAGGGATATGCCGGTATCAAATTTTCATGTTGCGATTAAGTGCTAATGCTTTTATCACGGTATACAGTATTATCACGATATTGGAATTTAGTAAAAAAAAAAAAGTGCTGTCATAATACAGTATCATTCAAAATTCTGAATAATTTGTAATATATAATTATTCACGGTATTTAGAAGTGCCCACGATAACAATATCGTGCATATTCATTACCGTGATATATCGCATTACCGAATACCGGCACAAGTCTAGTTGAGTTGAGTTGGGTTTAATTGGGTTGGTTGGGTTTAATTGGGTTGGGTTTAGTTGAGCTGAGTTGAGTTGGGTTGGGTTGAGCTGAATTGGGTTTAATTGGGTTGGGTTGAGTTTAGTTGAGTTGGGTTTAGTTGGGTTTGGTTTAGTTGGGTTGGGTTGAGTTGAGTTGGGTTTAGTTGGGTTTAATTGGGTTGGGTTGAGCTGAGTTGGGTTTGGTTTGGTTGAGTTGGTTTGGGTTCAGTTGGGTTGGGTTTGATTTAGTTGGGTTGAGTTGGGTTTGGTTTAGTTGGGTTGAGTTGAGTTGGGTTTATTGGGTTGAGTTGAGTTGGGTTTATAGGTTTGGGTTTAGTTGAGTTGAGCTGGGTTGGGTTTAGGTGAGTTGAGCTGGGTCGGGTCGGGTTCAGTTGAGTTGAGCTGAGTTGAGTTGAATTGGGTTGAGTTGAGCTGGGTTGGGTTTGGTCGGGTTTAGTTGAGCTGGGTCGGGTCGGGTTGGGTTGGGTTTAGTTGAGTTGAGCTGGGTCGGGTTCAGTTAGGTTGAGCTGAGTTGGGTTGATTTGAGTTGGTTTGAGCTGAGTTGAGCTGGGTCGTGTTCGGTTGGTTTGAGTTAGTTTGGGTTGGGTTGATTTGAGTTGGTTTGAGCTGAGTTGTGTGCGGATGTTTCAGAGGGAAGAAAGCACACACGTGTGTTGTCCTGTCTGTGCAGATTCTAGTCAGGAATACAAGGACTCCACTGGCATCGACCTGCACGGGTTCCTGGTGAACACGCTGAAGAACAATCCCAGGTTACACACGCTTGACCTCAACCAAACCCTCATATCTCATTTGACCTCCAGAGGTGGACATGCATCCCGTTGTGGAAATTCCTGATTATATTAGTACTGTTAGTCTGTAATGATTACTGTTGGTAGGATTTGTGTTTTGAATCATGTATTGAACGGAGCAGTAGATGCTGTGAAGCGATGGCTAACTGTAGTCGTTCATCTTCAGGGACCGAATGATGCTGCTGAAGCTGGAGCAGGACATCCTCGACTTCATCAGTAATAACGAGTAAGTCCTTCATCGCAGCTCTGTGTGAGGAGCGAGAGGAGGAATATCAGAGAGCAAGAGAGAGGATCTTCGCTGATGTGAGATACGCTACAGCTACATGATCATGTGCTTATGGCTCTCTGACGTGAAAATAAACAACACTGAATCTCTTTTGCAGGGTTTAGACACCTTCCCGCTGGATAAAAGGTGAGTGTAAGAAGTCAAGTCACATTTATTTTTATTGCGCTTTATACAATGCTGATCGTTTCAAAGCAGCTTCACAGAAATAAACAGGAAAATAACAGAATCAGTGAGAATCAAACTTCATCAAATATGAGACTAATTCAAATTCTAGCTCTAAAAAAGACAATAATGTTACTATTCAGCTCCAATCAGTTCAGTTCATACTGCAAAGCATGATGTTAGCAATGCCGAGGTCATGGGTTCGAATCCCAGGGAATGCATGAACTGATAAAATGTGCACCTTGAATGCTTTGCATAAAAGCTTCTTCCAAATGCACAAATGCTAAATGAGGGGCGTTTCCATGCACTGAACTGAATAATTCAGCTTTTATCAATATCGACTCGAAAAGAGGAACAAAAGCAATTCGTCAAAGAGCCAAAAATATTTGTAACATACAACACTATAATTATTATACAACTAAATTAGGAGGAATAGAAAACATGGAGGAAGTCCAGTAAAGCTTAAGTTTTCATTGAATATCCTGTCACAACATCAATTCCTGTAGCTCAATGAATTCGATGAATTGGATAAAAGCATCTGCCAAACACATAACTGCAAATGTAATAAGCGACATGTTTTCCAGGATTCAAGAGGACGAGGTGTGTAACAGCGTCCAGCAGAGACGGCAGATCTTCAGGTGATTGTGAGCGTCCATCATATCTAATGTGAATTGAAGCTGTTCCTCTAAAGCTGTCTGATTTCCTCGTGCAGGCTGAAGGACAGTCAGTCGGGGAACAGCCTCCAAAGCAGCTCTGAGAACGAGGCCAGGTATTCAGAGCCGCGGCCGTGGAGCAGCACCGATTCGGACAGCTCCAACCTCAACCTGAAGCCCGCCATGACCAAAGCCAGCAGCTTCAGCGGCATCCCGGTCCTGATCCGCGGAGACAGCTCCAGCAGCAGCAAGAGCGCGGGGCGGCTCTCAAACACAGGTGAGGACGCATGGATGGGTTTATTTGTTGATTGTTGACACGCTCTTCCTCTTTTCTTCTTCTCATGCAGTCTCTGTTATTGCAATAACAGCATGTTTTATGTAGCGACTCATCCGTGTCTCACTGCATGCTCTGATATTCACACTCTTTTGTTAACGCTATTTGTTCAGTCCTCTGAACTCATTGGTGATCGTTTATACATTACCCTTCAAAGGTTTTGGCTTAGTAAGATTGTATTCAGCTAGGGTGCATTAAAATCATCAAAATACAGTAAAAACTGTAATATTGTGAAAAATGATTAAAAAAATTTTGGACAATGTGATACACTTCCATTTAAAATTTTAGAATCAGTACCAGAAAAAAAACACTTTGATTCAAAAAGTTTGCATTAAATTGATTAAAAGTGTCAGTAAAGACGTTTGTAATGTTACAAAATATTTTTATTTCAAATAAACGCTGTTCTTTTGAACTTTCTATTCATCTGTGAATCCTGAAAAATAAAATGTATCAGTTTCCACAGAAATATAGTTCAGCACAACTGTGTTCAACATTGATAATAATCAGAAATGTTTCTAATAATCAGCATATTAGAATGATTTCTGAAGATCATGTGACACTGAAGACTGCAGTAATGATGCTGAAAATACAGCTTTGATCACAGAAATAAATTACAGTTTAACAGATATTCACATAGAAAACAGCTGTTTGAAATTGTAATAATATTTCACAATTTTTACTGTATTTTTGATCAAATAAATTCAGCCTTGATGAGCAGAAGAGACGTCTTCGATATGATCACATAAACGACCATCCTCCTCCAGTATGACCTTTTACACGTAAACTCATTTAGTGTTTTTCATTTCAAAGAGAGAAAAAACCTCCCATATTTGAGAGAAGAGAAAGAAACACGTAAATTGCCGAAATGAAGCGAGACACTAATCAGAAATTAATTAACATGTCATTCTCAGCTAATACAATTATTCTCTTCTTCCAGTTTGAAATTCCCTGAGGTAATTAGAAATGAAATTGAATTGAGCATCTTGTTGAAATTCGTCTGACCTTCCATATTCTGGAGTGTTTTAATAACCGCGGCGCTCCAGTATGTCGACGATCCCCAATGAATCTCCATTATCCGCTGCTCTTCCCCTCTGTCTGTGCGTTAAGACTCATGTCGTTATTCCTCTCTAGGTTCTGACTCTTGTAGTAGCGTAGGTTCGTCCACGGGGTCGCTCTCTCGATCCCAGCCTCCTCCAGCCGCCGCGGCTCTAACGCAGCCTATGGCCTTCCCCACTGTCAGCTACGAGCCGCCAGCGTCCACGGCTAGCGCTAGCTACTATCTGCTTCCGCTGGAAGCCGCGGGGATACCGGCCGGAAGTATCCTGGTCAACCCGCACACAGGTTGGTAAACACTACAGCTGATTTCTTTCGCATGCATGACTTCATGTCCTCCACTAACCCTGATCTTAACCCTGCGTCGCTCAGACTGACGCTTCATAATCACTCATGCTGTGTGATGGGATGTTACGGTACATTATTTCACCACAGGTTTTACTGGAAGTCTTAAATCTCTCCTTTATAGTGAAATTGTTTGTTTTGTTGAATATTGAAATTGAATAATAAATGCAGTGTTAGGGGCCGTTCACACTGAACGCGTCTCCGCCATGTTGCCGTCAAATAAAACAGTTGCCATGCCAACTTACCCCGCCTCCGGGGTCTTCTGATTGGTCCACTGTTTTGGAACTGACATTTGTTCGTGTGCGAGACTCTGCAAAAGACGTGAGACGCGAGCGCAAAGATCATACTTGTCCTTCTAGCGCGTTTACATAGAAAAATAATGGAAAAGTAGTGAAATTGAAATGGAAAAATGCGTTCTCTGTGAATGTATTTTTATCATGATTTATTAAGGGTAATCGCCTGTGATATTTGCCTTGTCTTGCATTGGTAACAAGCCTCCACAAGCTCATGGTTATGGTTGCCAGATATCAAGAGCTTAAGTCCCCCAATCAGAGCTTTTCACTTAAATGGACACATTTTCTACCCAACAGTTTACTACAAGGTCGTTTGCACTGTTTGCTATGTCGCTCAGACTGACGTTTCATAAACACTCACGATTTCTGCTTCTCTCAATTTAAGCATAATCGTCTGCAATATTTGCCCACTGATTGTTTATCCTGAAAACGTTTAAAAAGGTCATGAACTGCCTTTTTTATTATTTTGTAATGTTCTCTGATGTCCACTTATAATGTTATCCAGATTTTTACATCAAAAAACATAATAATTTAGAAGTAATAGGCTATTTTCTGTTCTGTTTTGTCCCCCTCATCGGAACGCTCTGTTTGAATAAGCGCCTTTCCTTATGTTGGGATCAGAAGGAAGGCGAAGCAAAGACTTGGCACTGAACAGCGTTTTGTTGTCTTCGGAGCAGCTTTATCGTTTGGTTTCTGGGTTTGCCTCTCTCGTTATTTACACTACATGCGTGAACAGGCAATGCTGTAGAATTGGTGGGCGGGGCTAAACTGGCAATGATGTAGAATATGTAGGTGGGGCTAAACGGGCAGAGCTGTAGAATTGGTGGGCGGGGCTAAACGGGCAGTGCTGAAGAATCGGTGGGCGGGGCTGAACGAGCAGTGCTGTAGAATCGGTGGCCGGGCCAAACGGTCAATGATATAGAATCTGTGGGCGGGGCTAAACGAGCAGCGATGTAGAGACTGACGTTTCATAAACACTCACGATTTCTGCTTCTCTCAATTTAAGCATAATCGTCTGCAATATTTGCCCACTGATTGTTTATCCTGAAAACGTTTAAAAAGGTCATGAACTGCCTTTTTTATTATTTTGTAATGTTCTCTGATGTCCACTTATAATGTTATCCAGATTTTTACATCAAAAAACATAATAATTTAGAAGTAATAGGCTATTTTCTGTTCTGTTTTGTCCCCCTCATCGGAACGCTCTGTTTGAATAAGCGCCTTTCCTTATGTTGGGATCAGAAGGAAGGCGAAGCAAAGACTTGGCACTGAACAGCGTTTTGTTGTCTTCGGAGCAGCTTTATCGTTTGGTTTCTGGGTTTGCCTCTCTCGTTATTTACACTACATGCGTGAACAGGCAATGCTGTAGAATTGGTGGGCGGGGCTAAACTGGCAATGATGTAGAATATGTAGGTGGGGCTAAACGGGCAGAGCTGTAGAATTGGTGGGCGGGGCTAAACGGGCAGTGCTGAAGAATCGGTGGGCGGGGCTGAACGAGCAGTGCTGTAGAATCGGTGGCCGGGCCAAACGGTCAATGATATAGAATCTGTGGGCGGGGCTAAATGGGCAGTGCTGTAGAATTGGTGGGTGGGGCTAAACGGTCAATGATGTAGAATCTGTGGGCGGGGCTAAACGGGCAGCGATGTAGAATCGGTGGCCGGGCCAAGTGGTCAATGATGTAGAATCTGTGGGCGGGGCTAAACGGGCAGTGCTGTAGAATTGGTGGGTGGGGCTAAACGGTCAATGATGTAGAATCTGTGGGTGGGGCTAAACGAGCAGCGATGTAGAATCGGTGGGCGGGGCTAAACAAGCAGTGCTGTATAATCTGTGGGCGGGGCTAAACGAGCAGCGATGTAGAATTGGTGGGCGGGGCTAAACAGGCAGCGATGTAGAATCGGTGGGCGGGGCTAAACGGGCAGTGATGTAAACAGGCGTTGATGATCTTCTGCGGAGGCGGAGTTTAGCCACACTATTACGTCATTGAACGGCACATTCCACAAGCTGTCGTTTTGGCAGATTGTCTTCAATATAAGCAGTTTTTAGACAAACGAGAACGTTTTGAGTTCTGAAACTTATAGGATGTTTTAATAGTAAAATTACCTCTTAAATGTTAAAAGATCAAGGGAATATTGATTTCTCAGTTCATGACCCCTTTAATTTTAATTTTGCGTTATCTTGCATTGGTAATGAGCCTCCGTCTGTCAAGAGCTTATATCTCCCAATCAGAGCTTTTCTCTTAAATCGATATATTAACTGCTGCGACTAAATCCGTTCTCTTGATTTGTGCTTTATGTGAGAGTGCGGTAATTCTGATAAATGTAAAATAACAGTAATCATGATTATATATTTGAGCAGAGTAATCATGATTAACCGTTTAGTGGTTATCGTGCGGCCCTGTGCAGTGTTCGTCTGAATGCATCCCCAGTGTGCTGCTGGGAAACTCCTAATGAAGCCGTTGGTGATGCGTCCGCATTCAGACAGACGTGTGAAATATTGTGTCTCATTGGAGAGCGGTGTTTAAATATGCATGCGGCTGCGAGGACAGCTTGTAATGCGTTTACTGCAGGCAGCACGGCTGTGTAATTGCTTATTGACCTCTTTTAAGGAGTTTGCAAATGGAAAATTTCTGTCTTCTGTCGAGGCCTTTGTGTTCTGGAGCTCAATGAGGGTGTTTGTAAGACCAGACCGTCTCATGTGCTTCATTTGTCATCATTTACAGGTTTATATTTAGACTTCCAAAGATGTCGAGCTGACACGGAGATGCTCAGGATGCTCTTCTCTCCATTCACACTCTGATGAATCCTGTTCAGCTGTATGTGTGTGTATATCTGCTCTGTTAGGATCCTCTACTGATCTACAGTCCTCTTGACTGATCGCAGGTCAGCCGTTTCTGAACCCCGACGGCAGTGCTGTCGTCTACAGTCCCAGCGTGACCTCACAGGCCTCCAGATGTCAATCATCCGTAGCTCCGCCTCCAGCCGCTCAGCCCACCAATCACGTCATGGCACAGGTGAGTTTAGTGGCTCTGATGTCACTGGTCTGTAGGTCAGGTTTGATGCTTGTCCTGATGAATCGTTATTTAAGGACAGATGAATCTTCTAGCGCTCAGGCCTAGAGGAGCCATTCTGAATTAATCAGTCACATGTTCTTCTGATGACAGTAGAGCATGATGGTTACACTTGATAAACGTCATGTTGTGCTGTAAACTAACACCTTCTTTTTCCATCCTGTACATCTGGAACTAAATCCATTTCCTTCCTGCTCTGTCTTCAGCCTCTCTGGTCTGTCCAGCACCCGCCGCTGTCTTACCCACCGGTCCAGCCGTTCACTGTGGTACCTACGGCTCTCTCTCTAATTCCTGTCTCTCTCTGTTCACTTCCTGTCTCATCGCTCTGTTGTGTTTGTGCTGAGGATCTGTGTGCTTTACCGTGTGCATCTCATTTGAGTAGTCGAGTGTTTCTCAACATCTTGACTCCCTCATCGTTCACTCTTCACCGTTGTCAATCCCACAATCCCCTGCTCAAGCCTGCCACTCGAGTCCCATAGAGCAGAGATTCCTTTTTTAGCTAGTGTTTTCATCATTATTTCAATAATTAACATATTTGCATGTTCATGGTGGTCACATGACATGCAGCTAAACAAATGAAATATTTTTAGTGTTTTATTTAAAAAAAAAAAAAATTATATTTAAATAATGTTCTTTTTAGCAGCATCATATGACCCCTTTAACATGTTTATGATTTACTAATTACTAGCTTTTTGATGAATTCATAAATCCCAATTTGGGAAACACTGTGTGCAATTACTTTTTTTTTTACTGCATTTATATTGATACGAGTTGTTTGTCAGTTGTTGTTGTTTTCATTACTACTGTGTTATAACTATTAGTTTCTTTTAAAATACATTGACCTTGCCATGAAAATAGCTATAGATGCTGGTATAGCAATTAAAATAATTAAATAAATAAACTGCAGGGATGCAGTAGGTTGGATATTTTAGGAAGCGTGTTCAAACCCATCAGGACTCACTAGGACGCACATCATGTGCTCTTATAACCTCTTTTTCTTGACCTCCCTCAGCCAGTGAACATCCCTTAATGACTAATTAAAAGAGTGGGAGATGCTTTGAATAATTAATGCAGGAGCAGATGCTGGAATTAATATTCAATGAATAGAAAAGTGCCTTGTCTCTTCCCATTTCTGATATAATCCATACAGACTGATAAGAGCATCTCACTGTACGTACTGTACATATGCACTCTGATAGAGTATTTAGACCGCTGTAGTGTGACGTCTGGTGTGAACTCTTAGCAGGATAATCTGAGCGCTCAGTTCGGTCACATGATGCTGGTCCAGCAGGCCTCGGGTGACGGCCGTGACGCTCATGCAGGCGTTTATCCGCCGCCTCCACCGCCGCTGCATCAGACCGGATACGTGATGCCCTCGCCGGGACAAACTGTGGCCAACCCCGCGTTTCCCGCGCCCACCGTCAGCCAGCAGCAGAGCTTCATGCAGCAGCAGGTGTGAGACACATCAATCATCAGAGCTCAATGCCTGCTACAAATCATATTTCAAACAGGCGCTACCACATGGTTCGAACACACACATGGGGTCTGTCCCAACATTTTTGCACTCGAACACATGTCTATTTACATGACATACTTGATCTAAGTGATCAAGAGGGCATGAAGAGCGCGAGTGTGTGTAGAACATTTGATCATAACTGATTAGACACAATACAGACTGATTCAAAGCAGCTTCACAGTAATTAACAGAGTTAATGTTGCAAAATTCATGAATTATGAAACAAACTCAATTTCAGCAGTAAAGCATCTCTACAGAAGACAATAGAGTCATTATTCAGATCAATTCATATTGAGTTTTCTTATCATCTGATATTGCCTGCCATCAAATCAATATAACTGAATATTAAAGGGATAGTTCACCCAAAAATGAAAATTAGGCTGCGTTTTACTCACCCCCGAGGCATCCTAGGTGTATATGACTTTCTTCTTTCAGACGAATCCAGTCGGAGTTATATTAAAAATTGTCTTTGATCTTTCAAGCTGTTTAATGCCACTCAGCGGGTGTTGCATGCATCAGTCCAAAAGAAGTCAAATAAAAAGCACACAT